AATAATAATAAAATAAAATAAAAATAAATAAAAGCTTCATGACACAGCATGTATCCTGGGCTGTGACTGAAGGAGAAAGAAAGCAACAGGGATCACCGAGAGGTAAGTGTTTCAGAAATGTAAAAACGACACAAGCCCTAAATTGAGATCAAACGTATCATAAGGCTTAGGATTCCAGGGATTGAGCTGTTCAAGGAGCATTTAAGTAATCGCCAAATGTTACCACCTTTTTACCTTTGGCACGTAATGTAGTCTTTTTTTTTTTTAAGATTCTATTTATTTGACAGAGAGGACACAGCGAGAGAGGGAACGCAAGCAGCGGGGAGTGGGAGAGGGAGAAGCAGACTCCCTCCTGAGCAGGGAGCCCGACACGGGGCTCAATTCCAGAACCCTGGGATCATGACGGGAGCCGAAGGCAGACACTTAACCGACTGAGTCACCCAGGTGCCCTTTAAAAACCCTTTTAATATGAGCATTTCTCAGGAATGTTAACCTAATGGATGTCCTCAGCTATCCACTTGAGAACCGGGCATGCTGCCTGTTTTTAGGAGATGGGACAAGGAGGGTTTAGACTTACACTCTGAGGCTAGCACAAACATTCTGCATCTCAGAGGACTTCACTCATCACACTTTTAGAAAGAATCTCTTCTCCTTTTGCCTACTCTCTCTCAGTCTGCCCTACTCCTCTTCCCTTCCCTCTTCCCAACTAAATTCTCACCTTGTCACTCACTGGAACAAAGCTGCTGTTCAGGGTGACAATGCAGAAGTGCACTAGAACAGAACAGGAGGCATTGTCAAAGGGGATTTTCCCCTCGCTGAGTCTTTCTTCCACCCTTTCTACTTCCCCACACATACTTCTGAGTCAGCAAAATTCCATCAGGTTTTACTTTACAAAAAAAAAAAAAAAAAACTAAGTCTGGGAGAGAGATCAAAGCACCCAAAGGGTTTCTCTTCACAGCTCCTGACTTGGAAACATTAGAACGGAATGCCCTTCTAAGGAAGAAGGCACAAAGTACAAATACCAGGGGTTCAAGCCGAATGCCCTTGATGCTTTTATTCACACACAAGCAGCTGGTCCACAGCAGCCCAGTTAAACTTGCAAAATTCCATCCCAGGAAAAAATGTGTACTTTTGTTTCAGATACACACACATACTAGCAACTCCACCCACTTATTCCTGCTTATGTAACACAGCGTGTCTTCAAAACTTGTGACCCTTCCTCCCTCCTGCCTTGTTCCATAGACCTCCCACCAAACCACAAAGCCCCTCTTTCTGAATATTTGCGGTAGTTTGCCCTGTATTTTGTCGAATCCCATCTGTGTGTCTCTTACCTTCCTGCCCTGGGTTGTAGATAGGTTTGTCAGTTTGTATAAAGATGCCATTCTCCTGCCTCTGAATTAGAACCTTTTTCTTCTCCTCCAAGCTGATATTACTTCCGGTCGCCGACACCCACATTGTAGCCACTTCTTCTGTACCACCAGCAGGAGGTGGTACCTGAACAAGAGAAGGCAACTAGCTCTGTGGAGGAGTAGGATATTGGGGAATGGAATCAACTGAGTTAGATGGGGGTAGCAAGGGTAGGGCCATAAAACAAGTTGCCAGGAAGAAGAAGGAAAACCACATTCAGAGGTTAGTCAAAAACTAAAAGAAGAAATCCAAGGTCAAGGAAACTATGAATGCGTTATGGCCAGGAGTTGAGTTTAGGTTTAGGAGAGACAGGTTTGAAGACTGTGACAAGAGTAGATTGCCTAAGTGCCTAGGAAGGAGGATAAAAAAGGAAGGGAGCAAAGTTGGGGTTGAATCTGTGCTTACCGGAAAGGAGATGCACTGCAAGGGTCTTTTCTTCGATTCAGAAGTTTCTAGCAACTTCTGGGTCTTGTTGTTGGTCTCCAGAGTAATAGTGAATTTTACATCATGGGACCCCGGGCGCAGATCCAAACAAACTTTCTGGGTAGAGGGGAAGTTAAGCTGGGCTGGTACTGTCACCAGATAGTTTCTATTAAGGAAGCAAAAGGATTTCAGGTCAGTAATGATTCATTCATTCAGTGAAAAATTAAGCCCTCTCCTAAGCACTCAGCATATAGCAGTGAATTAAACAGACTGATTCCCTGCCTTTATGAACCTTATTTTCTATAATGGAGAAGCAGATGAGTAACAAATAACTCAGCCTTAAGCTGTGTACATCCTTAAACTAACCACAATTAGGAGGCCATCACTGAGAATCTACACCTAGGGTACCAGGAAGGAAATTAATTCTATTACAGAGAACAGGGTATGAGGAGTCGCCCCTTCTTTTTTTTCTTAAAGCTTCCTTTCGGTGCCTCTGCCTTTCTCTCTGGGTAGAGGAGAAATGGAACCAAAGAAGGAACAGATGAGAAGGAAATTAAAACAAATCAGAGGTTATCTCTTCTCTCCCATATTTACATTTGAGAAAAATAGACAAAGAAGCCACCTGCCCTAAATCAACTCTGACACCAAGCACTTACGGGAGATATTTTTCTGCAATGGCTGGTGATAGGGTCAATATTCCTAGAAGGAGCTGAGTCCACATCCTTGTGGGTGAGATTCCTCAAGAGCAGGAACCAGAAGTCTGCGTCCCTGCTATAACATATATATAAACCACACAGGGTGTGGCGCTTTGATTAATGCTCTAGCCAATCACCTATTGGAGCCTCAGGCTAAGGTGGTAACCCCGGCTAGGACTTCTGTATACTTCCTCAAATTAACTTCTCCCTGAAACATTCATACTGGCTCAGTCAGTCCTTAATACCTATTCTGGGAGAAAACCCAGGGTTGAGTATTCACAGCGGTAATGCTCTCAGAATAAATTTTGGACTCCTCCCTTTTTTTCTGATTTCATTCCAAATTTCCATCCATATTTGATCTTTGTTCTCTTTTTATTATTAAGACATACTTGGGAACACAAGTATGGGAACAGTTATCAATAGAAAAGCAGTATATCGGGGCACCTGGGTGGCTCAGTTGGTTAAGCGTCTGCCTTCGGCTCAGGTCATGATCCCAGCGTCCTGGGATGGAGCGCCTCATCAGGCTCCATGCTCGGCGGGGAGCCTGCTTCTCCCTCTCCCTCTGCCAGCCTGTCTGCCTACTTGTGATCTCTCTCTCTCTCTGTGTCAAATAAATAAATAAAATTTTAAAAAAAAGAAAAGAAAAGCAGTATATCTTTTATCTAGTTGGGAATTAAAAAAATTAATACTACTCAATATTCTTGTGACTATGTGGAAATAGGGACATATACACTTCTTATAAAAGTATAAATGGACAACCTTTCTGAAGGCAATTTCACACACATCAAAACCCTTTCAGATTTCTATGACCCAGCACCTCCTATATTGGAAATGTTTCTTAACGAGGACAGAGAGCATGCATGTATGCAAAAGATGTATCAACCCTAAGTTTCTTCACTGTATTCTTTATGACGGCGAGACTTGAATGCTACCTGGGGTATAAATTAGTGAGGATACTTTCTGGAGCAATGAACAACCCAAATCAAACCAACTTAAACAAGAAAGAATTTTTGGTAATGGGTGGATCAGACATGAAAAACCAAAGGAACTAGAGAAACTGGAAACGTTATGGCCTGAAATTAGGCACTGATGCTGTCAGGACTCCCTTCCCCCACTCTTTCAGTCCCACTGTGCACAGGATTTCCTTCAGGTAGTGAAGAAGGAGCTGGGAATCCTTCCACAACTCTATGATCCCAAGAGACGGAAATTTCTCATCTAAGTCAAGAGAAATTTTTTTTTTAAAATTTATTGATTTGAGAGAGAGAGAGAGAGACAGCCAGAGAGGGAACACAAGCAGGGGGAGTGGGAGAGGGAGAAGCAGGCTTCCCACTGAGCAGGGAGCCCAATGTGGGGCTCGATCCCAGGACCCCGGGATCATGACCTGAGCAGAAGGCAGACGCTTAACGGACTGAGTAACCCAGGCGCCCCTCAAGAGAAATTTCTGAAAAAGGATTTTCTCCATCCGGCTCTCCCACCGCCGCCACGGCAGGTCGCAGCAGCTCGAGCGGCGGGAGGAGCGGCAGCGGCCAGGAAGCCCAGCTTCGCGAAGGCTCTCGGCGCACCCCGGGCCCGCAGGCACCCGGCACGCGCCCGCCCAGCCGCCACGATGCCCAAGAGGAAGGTCGCCTCGGAAGGGGCAGCGAAGGAGGAGCCCAAGAGGAGGTCGGAGAGGTTGTCAGCTAAACCTGCTCCTGCAAAAGTGGAAATGAAGCCAAAAAAGGCGGCAGGAAAGGATAAATCTTCAGACAAAAAAGTGCAAACGAAGGGGAAAAGGGGAGCAAAGGGAAAACAGGCTGAAGCGGCTAACCAAGAAACGAAAGAAGACTTACCGGCAGAAAACGGAGAAACTAAAAATGAGGAGAGTCCAGCCTCCGATGAAGCAAGAGAGAAAGAAGCCAAGTCTGATTAATACCATAAACCATGTCTTATCAGTGGTCCCTGTCGTCCTTCTTGTACAATCCAGAGGAATATTTTTATCAACTATTTTGTAAATGCAAGTTTTTTAGTAGCTCTAGAAACATTTTTAAAAAGGAGGGAATCCCACCTCATCCCATTTTTTAAATGTAAATGCTTTTTTTAAGAGGTGAAATCATTTGCTGGTTGTTTATTTTTTGGTTCAACCAGGAAATAGTGGGATATTGAATGTGGGAGGCTTTGATTGTCTTGGGGTCAGTTCAACATTCCATAGATGGGGTAGTTTTTATATCCTATAATACCAAGCATGCTAAATGGCAATTTGGAGTCAGCCGTGCATTTACTATGTCTTGAATATTTTAAATTACTTCTATTCCCATGTTGTTTTTGGTAGAATTGTTTCCTAAAGTAAACCACTCGTAGATCTTGGCTCTCCCGGTCAGAATTCTTGGGCACTCTGTAGCATCTTGGTCATAGTAGTCCAATTTTCCTAGTAACTCTGTTAATGTGCTGTGCAAGATTGAGAATTTGAGCATGTAGTGTATATGGTATTAAACTGTGAATTAATGGAACTTAACAATGTAACAGTGTATCAGCATTTGAAGATCTTGGTACTTGATATACTGTTAAGGAAAATTTGCCTCCAAATTTTAAGCTGGAAGGTCACTGGAATAACTTTTAGAAAAGAATCACAACTATGTGATTTTTAGATTTTCGGTGCGTACATTAAGAATTGTGTACAAATTGAAATGTCTGTACTGATCCTCAAAACAACCCATAAAAACTCAACTAAGAAAGAAAAAAAAGGATTTTCTCCCTCCTTCTCTCACATGCTCACCTCTGAATTAATCACTGTAGCCAAGATACAACGGGGTGGACCTGGGTCATTCTTATCACCCAGAGGCCAGTACGATGAACTACTGGGATTGGCAACCCCAAAAAGACACATGGAATTGGACAGGAGGGGGTTCTCTAAAGAAAGGAGTCCACTGCTATAGGAAGTGCACTGGGGTAAAGATGCTGGGAAAATCAAATGTTAAGTCTATTACAATGCCCGATAATTTAAATTTGGTTGAAAAAATGGTTATATTAATATAAAGCAACAATACACAGCCATTAAAAATAATATTTTCATGACAAGGGAACTGTTTGCAATACTAATTGAATGGCACGGTGGAGAAGAGGGAATATGATACAAAACAATATGTAGGAAGCTCCACTTCCACTAAGGACGTTAAAAAAAAAAAACAAACTGGAAAGAGCATCTTTCCCTCCCTGATAGTAAAAAAAGCCAGATAAACTGCAAAATCGTAACTTTTCTTGAACCAAAAAGTTGTATCTGAGAGCTGAGCAGAGGTTGCCAGTTAACTAAGTAGCCTAAAATCCAAGGAGGCACAGTTCCTTTTGAGAAGAAACTGTGTGTTGAGTTGTCTCAGCTGTGCCAGAACATGGAAGGTATTTGGGCCATCATAGAAGCAAGTAAGAACATAGCTAAGATTTTAATGAATCACTAAAGGTCTAGTGTGGGCTAGAATAACAACAAAGAATCTCTGTGTGCCACACGGAAGCTTGTACTTATTTACAGGTTCTCTTCCATGGCCTTTATCAAGTGCTCATAAGAAAGACTGGATACAGAATGAGACTGAAAAGAGCCTCCCATAGTAGTATAGACATAGACGGTAGTATTATCTATCCCATAGGAAAGGCCCTAGCTGCCCAAACTTTTTTCAAAAGGTTTAAGACTCTGGGGAGAAGCAGTAAATACTGTTGCCCTGATTGTTGCACAGGTAAAGACCCACTGTTGCCAGGGGAAGGAAGAAGGAGGAGGAGGGGGAGG